GATAGATAGATAGATAGATAGATAGATAGATAGATAGATAGATAGATAGATAGATAGATAGATAGATAGATAGATAGATAGATAGATAACCTTTTAAAATCTTTTTGAAAGCAACTATCTACAACTAGTTAAAAACAAAATGTCCAGTCTTTTTGCATGGTTGTAATCTGACACTTTGTGGGCTGAGGTTTTGGCAGGCAGACCAGATTAGAAGATAGAAAACTGCGTGTCCGAGCCTTTGTCCACCTTGTACGTGCACGATCCTCTGCTCTGCTGACCTACCAGTATCAAGACGGTAAGACAACACAGGATTTTTTTTCTGTCTGTTTGCAGCTTGCACATTTTCCTCTCTTCTGCACTTTGATAAAATCCATTCATTATTACAAAAGGAATCACAGCACAAGTGATGAACTGATTCAACTTGAGCTTGTCTTTAAAACGAAACCCATTCATTTGAAATTTGTTTTATTTAAGTTGCAGCTTTAGGTGAACATGAACATCCTGCAAGTCCTGGGCATCCTACAACTGGCTGTCCCTGCATTTACAGTGAGTCTTATTTGAAGATTTRTTTTCATGTGTTACTAATTGCATGTTTGTGTCAGTAAATGCTTTGCTGCGCAAGTGAAAGTCAAAAATAAGGAATATTGCGCACTGAAAAAAACTTTAGTGGCTAAACAATGTGTCTAGTCTTTGAAGGTACTTAAATGTGCAGGTTATTTTTTTATTCTGGTGAATTTAAAACATAATTCTGTTGATTTTCTCACTGGGGTCACTTGTGTGGTGATGCACGTGGCTACACGAGACAAAATGAATAAAAAGTGTTGCATCAGTCWTTCTGCAGCAGCTGCAGCTGCTTTAACTTAAAAGTCTTTACATTTTTCAAAAAAGTGCATCAAACAAAACACACAACATACAAACTTATACTTAATCAATATGAAAAATGTAAATCAGTGAGGTTTTACAGTGTAGGTTCACCGTTGTGCTGTCAGTGATTGCTAGTTATATAAAGAACACTTAAAATCAAACATTATGCAACATAAAAAAGTTGGTTTGGGTCCAGTTTCAGCTTCTATTTTTGAGTTTCGTCCTGCTCTACCTGGGTGTTATTGGTTTGTGGTGGCCATGATTGGGGTGCACGACAGTGTGTGCTCCACAGGCCATAAAAAAAAAGAAAAAAATGCAGAATATTCAGTTTTCTTCTATTTCATTTTTTCTAGTTCACACAGCCAGTCCATGACTACTGGGGAGAGTTCGGGGCCTATGGTCCCTGCAGCCGGACCTGCGGCACCGGTGTGGCAATGAGAACCAGGAAGTGTATTACTTCAAGGTGAGGCAAAGAATTATTAGAATTATCAAAAATATTACCAACATCTATTATTATTTCCTATTATAGATTATTAAAATTATATTTTCTAACTTAATATAGCACAATTATGGAAGCCCATTTCCGCCACCCTGATAAAAAAATAAATAAAACTTGTATCTCATAATTATGAGATACTATCTCATAATTATGAGATAGCTATCTCATTATTATGAGATGCTATCTCATAATTATGAGATAGCTAAGTCATAATTATGAGATACTATCTCATTATTATGAGATGCTATCTCATTATTATGAGATAGCTAAGTCATAATTATGAGATAGCTATCTCATTATTATGAGATGCTATCTCATTATTATGAGATAGCTAAGTCATAATTATGAGATAGCTATCTCATTATCATGAGATACTATATCTCATAATAATGAGATACTATCTCATAA